TATTCTTGTTTCCACCTAAATATGTCACTTTTGTAGTCTATATCTTTTTTTAAAAAAACCATCAGTTTTTTAAATTTTTATTTTATTTGGGGGGGGGAGATAATTAGGTTTATTTATTTATTATTTTGGGTGGAGGTACTGGGGGTTGAACCCAGGACCTCATGTGTGCTAAGCACACGCTCTACCACTGATCTCTACCCACCTCATCTTTTAATAGAGACTATTCCATTGTTTCAATTCCTTCTTTCTTTGTTTCTTTCCTTTTTTCTTTCCTTTCTTCCTCTTTTTTTTTTAAGTACCTTGGGAAAAACACATACTCCAATTTGAGATCTGGCTTTGGAGACCTGATCGTGCAGTACTCTTGAATTATTTAAAACAAAAATTATTTTCAAGAGATTATGAGAAATTGTTATTGTGTAAATATTTTCACACAAGAAGCATTTACTACTTGTGAGAAACATTTGCTATTTACGTAGCTTTTAAATTGAAAAACAACTTGTGTTTCTCTTCAGAATGTCACATTAGAGCAGCACTATGGCCTAACTTAATAAAAATTCACAGTGTGAAGCCCTGGTTCCTTCAGGGTGGGGACCACTTAGCCTCTGGGTCACGGAAGCGTATCTCATCCATCCAGCATCACAAAAAGGAGGAAGCAGAATCCTGCTTCACAAATCAGGATGTAAAGAGACAAATGCTAAAGCTCGTGGTGATAAAAGTAATTATAACCACTTATCTGGTGAGTCAAAAAATGTTTGTATTTTAACAGATATGAAAACGGTTAGAATTTGGCTGAATGGACAGAGTCTAGTCCTGCCTAAAATTCTCAGTGTATCCCATTGTCACCTGGGGTTGTCTGCACTTCAAAGTCCAGATAGTATTGCCTGGAACTCCCATTCCACACCCTGTGGAATTTTAAAGCACTTCCTAAGGTTTTTGTAAATTTCTGGAAGGCCTGGGGCTCTGAGTTCTTCCCTGAGTTAATCCAGTTAACGGGTCATCTTACTGTTCCCCACTCGCTTTCTTGCTCTCTGCCGCAGGCGTTCAGCCTGGACTCATCTCCTAACTCCGTCTTCAGCCCCTAACTCAGCATACACACCCCAACCACACCATCCTCCGTTAGACCGGGTGCCTGCCACAGCCCTCGTTGAAGATAAGGGAGAGGTTATAACATACAACACACAGTAAACGTGGCAGTTAATTAAAGGACTGTTGACCACTGCGCCACTGGGGACTTTTTCTTGGGCCAGTTCCCTGGGTCTAGTGTGGCACTCTCCCTCCCGCCCCTCAGTCGCCCTTTCTTCCTGCATCTTCCATATCTTGCTTGTCATCTCCTTCCACCCAGATGCTCCTCAATTGTTCATTCCGAGTTACACAGAGCCATTCAGCTCCCTTGAGTCCCTACTCCCCAAATCAGTTTCAGCTCTCCCTTTTGCATCTCAGAAACAAGCGAACCAAAAAGCCTTTAACAGGATTTACATGTCTAGAAAGCAGTTACTGGTGTTCATAGCAATTTATTTTCCCCTCATACACCTAGATATGCTTTGTTCATTCCTTTGAAAAGCCACTTCTGAAATACAAGCCTCTCCATCTCTATCTCTATCTTGATCCACGTGTCTGGTAAAAGTGCAGTTACTTAACCGGATTCAAGTACTTGGGCTGTAGCGATCAGGCAGGTTAGCCTCAGAGGTGTCCAGTGTTCTGTCTTGGTTTCCAGTTTCCTGCTCTTTACTTCTAAATTGTTCAGCCTGACACTCAAGGGGTTCTTTTCATCCATTGCTCTATATGCAACCTCATCTTTCAGAATCCGTCTCTCACTCGGTCTCTCTTGTACCTGGTCTCTGTTTCCAAAATTGGGCATGGAGACCGTAATTGAATGTTACTCATGGGTCCCTGAGTCCTGGCCCCTGGGTGTGTTCTTCAGTGTGTATTATTTCTCTGGCTGGTGTTTAGACTCTGTAAAAGCAGTGATGATAGACTCTCTTTAACCCCCCAGTACATCCTGGGAGGCAGTAGATATTCCAAAATGTTGTCTGTGGTTTCCCCAGACTCATTTATTCTACAAATTCATTCACTCTGCAAACATTCATTGCCTGGCATGGGCTAGAATGTAGGGATATGGCAGCAAACAAGAGAAAATCCCTGCCTTCCCAGAGTTTATTTCTAGTTGGAGTGAGGGGTGGTGGAATATTTTAGCACTGAATGTATGTCGGTGACACCAAAAGAGCAGACTCTGGGGATGGAGAGGATGCTCCTCTTAGGGTTAACGCTTTAAACAGAAACAGTGAAACTTTTTAACCTAATGATATTTTCTTCGTCTGCTCAGCACATCACCAATTCTACCCACCAGCCACACCTGTTTTTCCATCACACAGTGAATTGAGTGTGGGTGCTGCAAAACCTTCCTTCTTTGGAAGGATTCTGTCTGCAATGAAAAACAGTATTTTAGCTTTTAAAATGATAGCTCTGAAATGTGACTTTCCTCTTCATTTTCCTTGAGACAACCATATATATATGAGGAAGAAAAGTTGGAAAACAGTGTTTTGCCATGTCTCTCTCTAAACATAAACATGACATCCCTGCAGTCATCATGTGAATAAAATGCCACTCCAAGCCTTGTGAATAGGCTTTTCCATTTTAACACCTCTTAGTTACACTGTGCCTGTTTTCTGAGGGGACACTTGGGCAAAGACAGAAAGAAAATAAAAAGTTAAGGTAATTACAGTAAAGGTTATTGATTGAGAAAATCAGGAAAAGGAATTCCCTTTTCTACAAGCATTCAGTATCAAAAAGGAAATAAACACACACACACCCAAAAAAATCAGAAGCAGTTTATTCTAAGTGTTACTTTTCTAGGTTATCCACTTAGCTCACCCTCTGAGATTTATAGTTCAACCGTAACAGTTCAGAGTGGAAAGAAAAAAAAGCCATTTATCTAATCCAGTTCCTTGGGAAAAAATACTTACGCAATATTAAGAATCTTCAAGTATCTAATTTAATAAAGGGAATGATTTATACTCTGTAGTCAGTAACATGTGATACTGATTATTTCTAATCCCTTAGAAGAGATCTGACATTCCGCTTTTGGTCCTGTATAGCATGAAATCATCATGTATATTTTACCAAAAGAAGTAACAAGAATAATGGCCCCTACAGTCTGCAATCGTTTTATACTAACATACTGCAACATGGTTTTGCCCTTGGGCAGAGAAGTAGGGATTTTTCTCTACTTCAAAAGGATGAAAAATTATTATCACTCTATCCAGTGCCATTATAGACTTCAGAGACTTTGGCATGAAATATTCAGGAAGTTTATTTTAGAATTCAATATTTTAAAAGCCTGCTTTAAAACTATTACAGTGATTAGTGGCCCTGTTACTTGGGCTCGTCCTTGCTGTAAAAAGCCCTATGTCATGGTTGATAACATTTGTTGTTTCAACGAAATATAATTTGTACCAACCCGAGAGCTCCGTATAAGGCGTGTAATGCGTTGTTTTAGAATGCCCCCCAAAGAGGAATCGTGACCACAGCTCATCAGTTATCTTCCAAACACATTTTTACAGTAAACAGTACTTTCGCTGGTAACAGTGGAATGTATTGCCTATGCCATGATTTTGTCCTTCTGACATGTGTCATCGTAACCAGGTGGAACGGGCGCCTTTTCTCTGCTCCCTGTTCAAAGAGTAATGCCCCTGTCTCAGTGGCTCTAGGGACACACAGGGACAACCCAGCTGAGGCCACCTACGCCCTCAGCAGGCCAGCCAAAGGCTCCCATCCTCACCTCTCTTCATAGAGTCAGAAAAGCTTATCGGGTGCTTGTCAGGATTTAACGGAGCTTCTGAGGCCATGACTGAGCCAGTGAAAACTTCCGGAGCCAGCACTTGCCCAACACAACCACTTCTCTCTGGAACATCCTACTCACATAGGGAGACGATGTGGAACAGAGTATGGTTTTGGAATTTAATGATTCTAATTTGAGTTTCAGATCTGTTACTTACCAGCCCCGTGATCTCGAGGAAACTGCTAAACCTCTTTAGGCTCAATGTCTGTGAAAAGGAACCTGTCCTGGCATCCATGCACAGATTCAATGAGACCCGGAATGTAAAGAGTGCGATGCAGAATGTCAGTCACTGTTCCCTTCATTACTGTTTGCTCCCCGAATGTTTTTCTTGTCTCTTAATGCTTTATTCCACATTCCTGTTGTGTAACGTGTGAAAGGAAAATCAAAATGGAGTCGGTGTTGCTCAGAGAGCTCTGTGAGATGGAGCCGGGGGGCCATCAAGGAAGTGGGACTTATGCACGTCTAGGCCTGCATGGAGTCTGACCTTCTGACCTGGTGAAGTCGTCCAGAATACCTGCCAGAAACTCAAGATACGTACTGGACCCTTACCCTGAAATAACTCACGGCAGTCCGTCTACTTACTGAGCCCCTACCTTAAAACAGCTTGGGATTCCTCAAGGACAAATATTTTCTGACTCATGTCAGAGTCAGTCACAGTTCTTCCTGAGCAACTTTTACCACCTCGTGGCTTGTTGTCTTTGTAAGCCCCCGACTCTCTTCGTCGGAACACTCTTTCTGGGTTACCCCAATCTGTGTCTCCCAAATTGCAATTCTTAAGACCCCAAATAAACTCTTCTGTTTTCAGCCTCCTGCATTGTTTTTCAGTTGACAGATGCATGTATATTTATTGACATATCACAGAAGGTGTTTGTAGGATGGCTAGAAAAACCATCACTTCTACTTTTTTTAATATAACCTCTGCATGTGGTGACATTCCTTTAAATGTATTGAATATATTATTTCTGTGGGTTTTAATAAATACCTTTTCCTTTTACCTTAGGTTTCATCAGTGTAAGAAAAAAGATAGGCATCAACCTTAGCCTTCAAGGAGATTAAAATAGGTGCCTCTCCATACACACGCAAAGAAATAGATTCTGATCTGCTCTTCATGCCTAAGTGAGACGAAACTAACCTGTAAATAATTTTCTGTTTCATTTTCCAGGGAAGTAGATCAAGACTCAGATGGTCACGTCAGCTTTAAAGACTTCGAATATGCCATGAACTATGGACAGAAGTAAGCCTAATTTTTGGGTATTGTCTTGGCAACTTCCAGGGAGACCAACAGGTTGTGATGTATTTAAAGGTCAAATTCCACTCTACAAATGTAATGCTGCATACCTTCGATTACATGCTTCATCGTGGTTTTCAGATGCTGATAATTGCTTGCATCTCATAATCCTAGATGTGGTTGTTACAGGCAGTCTCCTTCTAGATGGCTAGCAGTCCTGAGTCAGGCTGCTGCTGGCACTGCCACTGGGGTGGTCCCCTGCCCCTCCTCTTCACTCCCTGTCCCCCAACTCCACCCCGCACTGCAGGCCGGGATGCTCCACTCATTTACTGGTCCTCACCACCCCACCCGCAGGCTCCCTGAGCCTCATCACTTCCCAAAGTCAGGAGGGGGTTGCTTTTTCCTGCCAGTGGTGCCAGTTTCCTTCATGCACTCAGCTTTGGTTGAATAAATAATAGTACCTACATGTACTGAGCTTTTACTAACTACGTTCCAAGCAATGAGCTAGGTGTTGGGAAAACAAAGACTTAAGACTTGTCTAGGATGATGCAGTAGAGTCAAAATCATCATTGCGAAATGGCCCCAGCGCACTAGTTGTGCAAGACAAAGAAACAAGATTGCGCTGACATAAGTAAGTCTTCTTCAGCTGTTTCCAGAGGCAGAACAGAGTGCCGTAAGGATATTGGAACAAAGACTTATTCGCAGAACCCGTTTGAATGGCCTGGGCCTCGGGTTCCTCCTGCAGAACAGCAAGCCCTGTGCTGCCCGGCTGCCCTCTGCTGTGCCCTCCCGGGTTCTAGGAGGTTTTTGCCTTCCACCAGGAGCCTTCACCATCTGTGTTCACGTTCTCCACTCCGCCTCCGCACCTGGGATCCAGTGACTGCCACACTGGAACAAAAGCTGTGACACTGGACATTCAGCACTTATTTTAAATAAATACTAGTATCAGTCCTAATATTTTATCTGTAAATGCTCAGAATTCCAAACATTGACAACACTGTGAAAACATATAATACAATCCAAATTTTAAAAATACTGAAGGTCAAGGAAAAATGTAAACCTGTAAAACAGAAACATGAAATGAGCCTCATTCTAATACAGATTATTAGCAGGTGAACTTAATAAACTGTCATAAATCCGAAAGGCCTAGAGAAGCATAACAACTTAATGTAACTTGGTGTTCTGGGCGGGATCCTGGAATACAAGAAGGAAGGATTTTAGGTAAACCCTAATAAGATACGGACTTTAGTTAATAATGTTATGTACCTATTGGTCCATTAATTGTGACGCGTACTATGCGCATAGAAGACGTCAATCACAGGAGAAACTGGCGAGGGGTGCTTGGGAACTCTCCGTACTATCTTCACAATTTTTCTAGGAACCTAAAACTGTTCCAAAATAAAAAGGTTAAAAAACAAAGTCTTATTCCAAAATTCACATACTAAACATTCTCTAAAATGAAGAAAACTTTGAAAATCATTAAGAAGTACAATTGAAACATCATTTCAAGAACAGCGTAGATCAGTGGTGTCACTGAGCATCCTGTGTGTTTTAGGACAAATTGTTCTGGCTAATGAAAAGCCCTTTCTGACTCTGGGTACAGTTTTATTAGCAAGTATTTTCATCATAAATTGAATAAGTTGAGTCACAGATCCTCATCCCAATACATGAGTGATAGTGATTTTAGATTGTGAAAATATAAAAATCAGAGCAATCCACCAGCACAATGCCTGTATTTCAGTAATTGCCAGAATACCGAAACCTTGCATTGCATCACTCTTTGACTCCTTTTCTCCCTGGAAACATGACAGGAGAAAGGGAGAGCTCACTCCCGCCAGCTGAGTGGGAGCAGGAGGCCAGGGTGGGAACAGCTGTTGGGCAATTTCCTCGACCCTGGATTAGTCCAGGCTCTCTTCGGTCTCAAGGACAGAAACCTGCCCAAACTAGCTTAGATGGAAAAGAAATTTTACTAGAAAATACTGGGCTAGCTTATGGAACCTAACACAGCAGAAGCAGTGGTGCAACTGGGTTTCCAGGAGAACGAGAACCAGCAACGCAAGCATCTCCAGACCCTGCCCCCGTCCCACGGGCACCATCAGCCTCACACCATTCTTTAAAGGAACTGGCCCATGATCTGTCCTGTTCCACATGCAGAGACCCTAGAAAGAGGCTCTGGTTGGCTCCTGGATCAGTCAACTCTGCTTCATCCTGAGAGTCTAGACTTGGTCACTGGGCACGCACCCAGGTGTGCTGCGGGCTGGCCACAGGGAGGGGAAGTTGATAAGAGCTGGACAGCCATTCCATTTTCTTTTTTAGAAGAAAACAGCATGGCCTGGACCTTCTCAAGGAGGGAGAGCCCCTCTAGGATTTGCTGCCTAGGAGGGCCCAGGTTCACAGAGCAGAGCACAGAACAAAAGAGACAGGGGAGGTGAGAAGCTTCTCATATCACCACCCATCTTATCACTTCCCCTAAACCCCATCCAGATCCTCATCCTGTGAGCTTCACTCCAGCTTCTAAATTCCAGATCCCTGCCCCAACCCTTGTCCCCAAGCCACGATGCTGTCTGTAGTGTGACCTTACTGTTCTGCCCTCAATTAAATGGCCCAAGGGTGGCCATGTATGCAGGTTGATCAACTCAGCCTCTTCCAATGGAGACATCAGGAGAGTGAGGGAGATGCAGCAGTGCTTCTCTGGCCAAGTGAGTGGGTGTGACTCAGGAGCAAGTGGCAGACGTGTTTGCCACCACATGGCCTGGAAAACCAAGGCAGCTGCCTTGCAACAAGAGCAGAAAATGAAATAGACACCAAGAGGAGAGCAAGGAGGCAGCTCGAGAATCCCTGTGGTACTTGATTTCTGGCTAAAGCTGGTACACAAGGCCCAGTCATAACCCTTTGGGTCCTATGAGGTAACCCTGTATCCTTCCAATAAACCTTTCTGCTCAAGCCAGCTGGAGTTGCTTTCTGTTATTTGAAACCAAGAGAACCCTAACTGTTACAAGCCCAGAGCCAAGGACAGAGTCCTAGGTAACATCAACATTTACTGGGGCAACAGAGAACAGAGTCTTCTAAAGAGACTAAGAAGAAGTTGAAGATGGAAGAGGAGCTGTAGCCAGTTCTCTGTCCCCAAAGCCCCACCTCTACTTGATCTGTAACTGTAATCAGATCCAGTCTTCCCCTGAGGCCAGTGATCTGCCAATGGCCAAACCCCTCAGCCCTTCTCAGACCTCATCACACTTGTCCTTTCTCCTGGGTCCTTCTCTCTTTAGCCTTCATAGCACTGCTCTCTCATGGTATTTCTATGCCCATTTACCCCCACTATCTTTTTCTCTTTCTTCTACAACCATCTCCTAAGTGTTAGTTAAGACTCTTGAAGGTCCTCTAATTGGCCAATCTTCTTAATCAACACATTCTTCAAGGATGATTTCATCTGTTTCCAAGACTTCAGCTATCACCTTTATGGGTGTGACTCCACAAACAACTCTTATCTTTAGTTTTTATCTCAGCTCCACCCAGACCTGTGGTTTTCATTTGCCTGTTGGACATTTCCACCTCAATACAAGCTCACTGAACTAACATCAGACTCATTGTTTTCTCTAATTTCCAAAACTGGCTTCTCATTCTGTGTTTTCTGTTTCTGTTAATGGCATCCACCCCACCCCCCACCCCTAGTTGTCATCCAAACCAGCTGCCTCAGGGTTCCTTTCAAATCTCCCCCTGACATCCAGTCAGTCACCACATCCTTTGAGTCTATGTCCGCAAAGACTTGCATGACATTTTCTTCCATCCCCTCGTGATCTCCCTGCCCACTCTCATCCATCCATCTGGCCATATGTTCTTCTCTCCATTGGTGTAAAGATGAGTAAAGGATGTGCCGATAAGTAAAAACCAGACCCCAATGTCATACATTTAGTCCTGTGCATCAGTTATCTTCACAAAGCAAAGATAGAATTGTTTCTTCTCAGAAGCTTTTGTAGCCACCTTTTCTGTCAGGTCATGTCTAAATCCTTAATATGCCATTCAAAGACCTCTATGATCTGGTCTCAACTTCTCTATTCAGCTTCATCTTTCACAACTGCCTCTGCCATACCATCACACACACACACACACACACACACACACACACACACACACACACAGACAGAGTCCCTTAGCCTCAAAACACCAAAATGACAACTAGATCTTTGCCCCAAATGAAAAAGTAACAAATAACCTTGGAATTCACATCTGATGAGATAATAGGAAAATAAAACCATAAGATAAAATTCCATTTAAAAAAACATATTGGACCACCGTCATCTTAATATTTTTTCCTTCACAGTTGTCACCTTCAAAGGGGGAAAGGGGGGGCAATTATGCTAGGGCTTTAAAAATATTTTTACTTTATTTTATTCTTGAAAATTAAGGTGAATATTAGCATCCTCTTTTAGAAATGAGGGAACAGTCTCAGAGGATCTAAGTAACTTGGCTCAGGCCACGTGATGGGGATGGGCAGAGTGTCAGGGTGTGATCCAAACCTGTCAGCCCGACTCAACACAGAGAACTTGTTAGGCTACATCACCTCTAGTGGGAGGATCTTCTATGACACTGGCCCATATTCTTGGGTCACACTATGTTTTTGATTCAAAATGAGTTTAGCCAGATTCATTGGCCATCTCAGGTCAAGCATCTATCACATTAGATATTAAGTATTAACTCCTGTCTTACCCATCCCCAAGCCTAACCCCAGTTACTTTGGGTTATTAATCAAATCCACATTCAAAAGACAAAAGATTTGCCACCAGAGACAATACCCTTTAAAATGTGCTGCCAGCTCTGAAGACAGTTTTCAAAGAGGATTTCTAGAAATGCTCTGAACAATGGAAGCATTTTTGAAATAGATGTGCATTCTCATTGGGCTGCACTCACTCATGTGTGTAAATTCTAAACAGCTTTTTTCAACAATCATGCTACCTGGTACTTCACTTTACGGAACTGTAATTTAGGGTTAATAAAAACAGTTAGTTGCTTTCCTTTTTCTTAGCCTGTAGCTTTTGAGAAACCTGTTTAGAACTGCAGGATTAGACAGTTAAAACACACACAAATGAAAGTTTAATGGCATTCAGGATAGCAGCTCACAAAGTGACCTTTCTTACAAAACAAATTTAAATTGGCATGACCACATGGATTGAAAAGTGGCTTAAAACAATTTAACATAATGAAATATGAAGTGTTCAATCTAAATTTCTCTTAGATTGATAAATTGGTTAAATGCTCAGAAATGTGTATCAAAAAGAACATTAACTTCACAGAAGATGCAGTTTAATGTATATGAAAACATAAACTGAAATTCAAATATGCTCCCTATTTTATGGTTTACTGATCCTTGAGAGGAGAAAAAACTTCAAAGGAGAACGAACAGTTAGGTTTGTTATAGTATATTCATTAGGAAGAGCAATTGCAATAATATTGTATTTATAGGAAAAAATTGACCAAGGGTCTGGAAATACATCACAAGTATTATCATAATGACAGTCACTATAGAGTAGAAGCCAAGTTTAGTCATCTTTGTTTTAAAGAAGGAAGCCAACCTTGATTTTAAATGATGTTTCCAAGGTTAAACATGGCAGAAATTGTGCTTGAGTCAGTTTCTTTACCAGGCTTTCCCTACTACTACTTATACTGGACTGCTTGTGGGATGAGGTTTGCTCATTTCTGTCTTTATTTTCCCCTTTTCCCTTCCCCCCCTCGGTTCCTCCCTCCCTTCACTCTTTGTTTCCTTTGTTTCTGCTATCCCTATCACATGGATAAACAAAACTACATACACTGAGCCACCCAGGGTTCTATCTCACCTGCTCTTTAACTGATATCCAAATTTGTATCAGCAGATTCCACCCTCCCCTGCACTACAAATAGAAACCAAAATTCCAGGACACTGTATGCATTTAATCAAATATGGAAACTTCTTGGCCATTTTCTCTTCAAATGCTTCTTTTACCACAGTCTTTAAAGAGAATGTCCTCCCAGAATCCAGTTATACATATGTTATACTGATGGTGTTATCTGACATGTGTCTCATTCTGTTCTTCTCCTCCTCCTCTCCTTCCCCCTTTTCTTCCTCCTCCTCCTCCCTCTCATTTAAGTTTCAGTTCAGTCATTTCTACTCATTCATTGCTGGTGGGATTGCAAAACGGTACAGCCACTTCAGAAGACAGTTTGACAGTTTCTTACAAAGCTAAGCATAGTCTTCCCAAATGATCCAGCAGTCAGGCTCCTATGTATTTACTCAACTGATCTGAAAGCTCCTCTTCACACAGAAACTTGCACAAGAATGTTTATACCAACTTTATTCATCATCACCCAAAACTTGAAGCAACTAAGACGCCCTTTAGGAGATGAGTGGATAAACAAAATGTGGTGCAGCCATATAATGGAATTATTATCCAGTGATAAAAAGAAATGAGATATTAACCCACAAAACACACATTAAGGTAAACCTTAAATGTGTATTTCTAAGTGAAAGAAGCCAGTGTGACAAGGCTGCATTCTGTACAGTACCAATATGACATTCTGGAAAAGGCAAAACTATAGTGATGACTAGAAGACCAATGATTATCAGAGATGTTTTTCTTTTGGTGGGAGAGGGTTGACTAAGTAAATCCCAGGGACTTTTTTTAGTGTGTGGCAAAATATACAGGATGAGCCTGGATCACCTTGTAGTGCCAGAAAGTGAGGAAGTGCTCAAAAAACAAAACAAAACCAAAACTTAAATTTAAAAAGAAAAAAAAGACTCACTTCAGTAAGGGTATGTCAGAGGAACACGAGAACCAACAGGAGAGCTTCAAGTGCCCAAAGCTAGAACAGTTTGAGTAACAAAATAAAGTAATATTGGATTATAACCCAAAGGATAAAATAAATATCCATGAGTCCATACTGATTCAAATAAATGACTGAATAAATAGATAAATGGAGGAATTGAGACAAATCTCCTTTGCAGAAAAATTTCAAATAATTTATGAAGGTACTCTGCCCTCAAAGAGATGGAATATAATTTTTCATTCCTTACGGGGGAACAGCATATGGTGACCGTCTCCCAGAAAGTACCACGTGGAAGTAGGGGATAGAAAAACCTGGCAATCACTGCTTCAGCCAAATGATGAAGGTCAACATCAACAGTGAGAAATCATGCTGATACTATGTACCCTTATGTATGGGATGAAAAGACACTGAACCCCTTAGGCTTTCCTCCCTCAAACCCACAACCTCAGTCCAATCGCAATCAAAATGGTTGACAAATCCCAATTCAGAGACATTCTACAAAATACCTGATCAGTAATTCTCAAAACCGTCAAAGTCCGAAACGAGGAATGCCTGAGAAGTGTCACAGCCAAGAGGAGCCCGAGGAGACATGACAGTGAAATGTAATGTGATAGCTGGGATGGGATCCTGGAACAGGAAAAAGGCATTAGATAAAAACCCTGGAAAACTGAATAAAGCATGGGCTTTGGTTAATAATAACGTATCAACATTGTTCCATTAATTATAACAAATGTAGGATACTAACGTAAGATGTTAATACTAGAACTGGGTGTGAGGTGTATGGGAAATCTGTACTATTGTCAGTTTTGGGGGGGGGGGTTGTAAATCTAAAACTGTTCTAAAATAAAAGTTTATTTAAAAAAATTTTAGATATTCCTGTATGTGGAAATTGTTTCCTTTGCTATTTAAATTTATAATAAAATTATAGATGTGTTAAAGGATTACCTAGCTTTTCAAAATAATGTTATAGGATACATTAGCAGAAGATGGAAGACCATCACTTAATGGCACATTTATAGGACTCTCTGAATTCTCAGCAGTGTCCCCCAGGGTCAGGCTTTTGCCATAGGGAAGTGTGTTCACAGCCTGGTATATGATATGGGTTGATTTCTAACAAGGAAGAGACCTCATATATCTGCTTTTGAATTGCATTTGGAGAACCTTCAAAAAAGCGAGAAAAAAAAAAGTACCCAGCTTTCCTGTATTTTGCTTGCAATATACATTTCAAAGAAAGAAATACCTTAGCTTTGGACCTATTGAAATGAAAGCCTTTTATACTTCTTTTGAACTTCCTAATTCCTCACAGCACTGAGAAAACCCACAGGTATGGCCCGTCTCAAAAGGCCTGTTAAGATGTCAATATAGTCAAGACATGGAAACAACTTAAGTGTCCACAGATGGATGAATGGATAAAGGAAATAGGAGATATACCAGTATGTACACAATGGAATATTATTCAGCCATAAAAAAGAAAGAAAGCCTGCCAGTTATGATGACATAGATGAATCTTGAGGGCACTATGCTAAGTGAAATAAATCAGACAGAGAAAGACAAATATCATACTGATTTTCAGCCTTTTTTCTCTTCTCATACTTATATTTAAGACTGTAAATGTCCTGTAGCCCTGCTTTAGCTGCATCTTATGCATTTTGATATGTCTTATCTTCATTATCATTTTCTTCAAAATATTTCCTAATTTCTGTTGTGGTTTTTTTCTTTGACACGTGAGCTAATCAGAGATAAGTTGTTAAATTTTCAAGAGTTGTGGCTCTTTCTAGTTTTTGTTATTGATTTCTCAATAGTTCCACTGTGGTGAGAGGACTGATTCTGAATGTTTTCAAATCCTTGAGTCAATTCTCTTTTAAGTCCTTCAGTTCTCCAATGAGCAAATACATCTTCCCATGTACTTAAATACATTTTTAAGTATAATTAATTAAACTCTATAATCTGATGTCTTTATTCTCTTAAATATTCCGATAGTATTTGTAAACTCAGATTTCAACTTAAAATCGTAAATCTAAACCAGCTTCTATTTTAAATTGGAATCACAAGGTAAATCTGTTCATCAGCCTAATGCTGTGCTGTCTAAAGCCACCAGCGCATGTGGCTATTTAAATTTAACTTTTAACTAATCAAAATTAAATAAAAATTCAGTTCTTCACTGAATAGCCATATCTAGTACCATGTTTCAGGTGTTCAGTAGCTACATGTGATTGGTGGCTGCCATATTGAACAGTGTCAAAGAGCACATTTCCATCGTTGCACCAAGTTCTGTTGGACACACTCCCTAGACACTCCTGTAGGGTGCTGGCCAACTTTAGGATTGACTGCCCTGGGGCCCTGATCCTGATCCAATCAGGAGACAGAGCCCTGTGGTGATTTATATAAATATTATTCCACACAAGGGAGCTTCTACCATGGGGACTCCTCAGAAAGGGATTGAAGGAGAGAAGAACATTCTGAGGCAGACTCCTGGTCACCCGTCAAGGCTCCATGCCGACATCACCTCCTGTGTGATGACTAACTCCTACCTCCTTTAGATTAGTCACATTTTCCTCTGGATGCCCATGGTGGTCACTTAAGCGTTCTCTTCGTGTTCCAGTTCCATCTCCAACTCTGGATCAGGAGCTCTTCGAAGCCAGGAATGTATTTTATCTTTGTGTCCTGAGTGTCTGGCACTGTGTGCACTGAATGGGAGGGAGATCTCTCTGAGAGGTGGTGTGATATGGAGCGGACAATCAGAAGATCTGAATTCTCTCTCCACTCAGTCCTCCCTCTTATGCTCGGTGGCAAGTCAGGCACTTCTCCTGGGTCTCAATTTCCTCTTATTCATCAGTTTCAATGAGGAAGTTGACTTAGATAAGATCGCTAATTGCCTGTTATAAGGAAGTAAGTGTTACATGAACAAAGAGTGCGGTGGCCAAGGAAGCTAAGGAAATGCTTGGTCATTAGGGATGATACGTGGGTATTTTCTTAGCCTAGAAGTTCACAGAAACTCTAGCACGATTCAGTCCATTATGGCACTGCGCGGAACGGGTAGGACGCCGAGGTTCTTGGGCTTATTTGATGGGCAGTGTAACTGTGTGTGTGTAGAGAAGGAGCTGTCTTAAGGAACTAATGTTCCATGGATTATACTTTGGGAAATGATTGATTAGCTGATCTCTAAGGAATCTTCTAGTTCAATGTTTTTATGTCTTATGAGCACACTGCCGTCTTACTGTCCCCGATACCTGACTAGCAGTGACTGTGAACTCAGAAGCCACACCTCTAACCTTCCACTCCCTCTGCCCCTACTTCCTCGTCTCCCCTGGCACCCTCCCCGCCTCCAAGAGAAGACACCGGAGCAACTCGACTTGAAATGCCCGTCAGGAGGGAAGGGGCTGGGGTGCACGCACTTGACTGTAGACCTCTGATAGCGAGGTAAAGTCAGTGCTCACCTAAAAGAGCAGCTGCTTTGAAAACTGAAGCATAAGGCAGAAAGAATGATTTTATTTTAATTTTAATTGATTTTCTCAGTTCTACCACGTTTCTTTCATGATATCATGGGTGTAACCGTTTAATATATCTATTTTGAGCTATCACTTGATATACGAGGCTTTCATGCCCAGGAATACTTAAAGCAGCAACAGATTATCCATGTTATGTTAATAAGAAAGCAATAATGAAATATTACGCAGGGTTCCTATTCCGTATTTTATTAATGAAGACCTTTTGTGCTTTGTTGGGCCTGATACTTTACACTGTGGTTGCCAAAGAGATTAGAAAATGTTTCTGCCTTCTCAGCAAAAAAGCCCCAAATTAGGCTACGTGACTGGAAAACATTTGCAACAGGTAAAACAGGTAACAAAAATGGCCATGAGGCTCTGTGGGACTGGAGGCGATGAACTTATTTTAATCTGAGCCCCAGGAATAGCAACATTCTTGTTGCTCAAGAGTAAAACAAACAGTTCTATCAGCTGCCTTGGAAATAAAAAGTAGAAAAAAACAGGGTTACCGCAAAGCTTAGTCCTGTGATAAATAGCCACGTGGACTGGAACTTACCGCCACTGATGGTAAGAACCAGCGTTAAGTGTATTGCCCGCCATTGGCGGACACTGCTTAAGGACTTCATTGGCACTGCCACATTTAATTCTTCTGGCAACTATAAGACGGAGGCGTTATCCTTATTCTCAGGAAGGGGGATAAGCACAGAAAAGTGAAGAAGAGTGGCAGACCTGGGGTTTGAACCCGGAGAGTCTGACTTCTGAGCCGGTCCTCATAACTTTAGCCCTGAGAACCGAGAGCCCTGGCCTTTCAGGTCCAAGCTCCAGGTTAGGGGAGACCCTGCAGGCCTCTGGCCCCTCCAAGAGAGCTTCCCATACTTCCAGAAATATACTCACTTCCCTGCATCTCTGAGGTCACCTCGGGTCTCACAGTGACCTCCCCGCACCGGGCACACTGTGCTGTTGGTGTGGGTGTTGTGGACCAGACAGATCTCCCCATCACACTGTGACTCTCTCCTCAAGTGACCATAGTCACACACTCATCTAAAAGTCCACTTGGCTCTTCATGGAGCCAGTATCATCAGAGAATTGGTGACACTTACACACATTCACCCCGCCTCTCCTCCTCCTCCACACACACCCACACACATCCTCCATCCCAGCGGTGAGCCCTGCGCTGCCCGCAGTCGTGTGGTTCTCTCTGCACCCCCAACAA